AATAAGGTTAAAAATTATGTATTTAACACAACAATTAAAAAGTTCTGTAAAAACTAAATACCAGTTAGCCTTTCCACCATTAGTTATCCACATTTTCTGGCCATTGAGAATCCATCGGTCACCTTTTTTTTCAACTTTGGTCTTTATTCCTGCAACATCAGAGCCTGCTCCTGGTTCTGTAACACAGTAGGCCTAAAACAATAGTAATAATAAAAGACCATTCATTGTATCTAACAATTCTATAACAGTGTATGTTTAATAAAAAAAAAGTTCATTCCTTATATCTAATAATTCTATGGGAATAAATGGAAAATTTATAGAGAGCATCCAACTATAGTAAAACCATGAATGAAAATAGTTGGAAGTGATAATACATTCTTCCATAATGGGGCTTTTAGGTTCCTAAATGAATAAAGCCAGTAAATAACACATGATTATCAAGCAGTTTCTCTTACAACTGGAAACTTAAGTATCCTCAAAATTTCTACTGCAGTTAGCATCAACTGGTAATGTAAAAACCAGTGACTATTAGAGATTCACATGTTGAGTTTTTGTCAAAATCAATGACTAAAATAACTTGAATTATGTCATTAAGTACGAACTTCCATTATAAGATTTATAAAGAAAGGAGGCAGGTAAAGGAGATAGGAATAATTTAAGAAAAATAAACACTGGTATATTAACTTGGCTCACATTTATTCCACATTCAAAACATAATATCTCTTTGATTCATACATTTTTACAAAACAACTTTTTTGAAATATGCTGAGTAGTACAGTTTAAAAAAAAAAAGATAAACTAATTGAGAAACTAAAAAAATACAACATAATCTCTCACAGTCTGAAGTAAATTGCAGAAAATCTTTAAACAGAAAAATATTTATTAATGAAAATATATTTTGATTATATTAGTCACTTTTTTTAATACAACAACGTTTCACATGAAAAATAGTAAAATTTGGAGCATACAAAAGTGAAATGGCACAAATTATCATGCACAGTAATTCTCAGGAAATACAAAGAGAAATATCAAAGAAGACACCTCAGCTTCAGTATATGCAATAAAACACTGGGTACAAAATATGATGACAAAAACTCTTAACTTACACACATTAAAGGCTCTTCTACGAGTCTTGTTAAGTATTTTTTCTTTTGTTCTTCATTTCCTGCAAGAATTACAGGGGCTTGCTAAGAGGACAGAAAAAAAATGGATTTAAAATACAAATGAAAAAATAATATGCAATTTCTTGCCTTATAGAAATGTAAATAATAATAAAAAACCTAACTTTCCCATCAACATTTTACAGTGTACAAATATATAATCTGAATACAACACTATAATCCAAAATTACACTATTACACCAGCACATATAATTGTATGGAGTTTCTTTCATGAGTTATCCATACATTTGTCTATGATTTTATGCTAACAGACTAATGCAAAGGTAACTCTTATAACAAACCCATAGTCTCAAGATGTGGGGATTGTTATGTTTCAATGGGACAACAACCATGAACTCTCAAATTCACAGACTGGCCACACTAACCACTAACTGTAGTTAGCCTAATTACATGTTGTCATGATATAAAAGACTGTTTGGTTTAAATGTTAGTGATTAATTTATATTTGTGAGTGAATACTTTATTATTTTT